ACCGCCGAAGGAGTCAGTCTTGGGAGAGCTACCGTTGAATATAAACAGTTTCGATTTATTTTCATTTTGATTTAATTATTTCGTGTGACATTGCGTTGGAATTGGGCTGTATCGTTTACCATAGCGTTCATTTCGTGAGTATAGTTTATTTTTCATTGTTTTTCATTTCGTTTTCTTAACTGTTTTCCTTATTTTTCAGTGAGCGGCCTCCGTAGTCTAGAGGTAACGTTCCCACCTCAAGACTCGTAGTACGCGGCTTCAAATAACCGGCGGAGGTCGTCGAATTTTTAAGGGCAGAAAAATTCAGGGAACAAGTCCTCCGGGAGGGACTTTAAGCCGTGGGTCCCATGTAGTTTTACGGCACGTAAAAGAACCTCATATCTCCAAAGGAGGTCACTGAGCCAAAATAACGGACGTTTCCCGCCCAACAGCACTCTCTAATACCTCTGGTAGATGGGGGAAGCATTATAGATACCTCTGAGCTAGTAGAGCCGGTCTCGCTGGCTGGGTGGGACTGATGGTAAGCACCAGTACCGGTAGGATATAGAGACTGGTAGAAATCATAGAGGGAAGCACCATGGACCAATACAGGTCTCAGTGCATGGGGAAACCCACCCTCTCCAATAACTAACTAACTATTTTTCAGTGCAATTGGCGGTGGGATTGAGCTATGTCGATTGATCTGCGTTTGAATTGAAATATTTTGTTAGACTGAGCCACAGCAACGCGTAGCCGGGTACAGCTAGTGTATATAAATAAAAACGTAACCGTTGGTTTGGCTCTGGTCGAAGATCTCCGAAAGTTCTTCACCGATCGCTTCGAAATTTTGGCAGAACGTTGCATTCGAACACGCGCGTTTATATATACATGGCACACCTGTGACAGGTTGGTTGGTTGGTTGTTAAAGTATTAATTGTTCTGAATATTAATATACTGTAACGTGTTATACGTCGTCCATCGAATACCAACAGATCGTTGCCTAGGAATAACCGTGGCAACGAACTGTTGAAACAGATCGTTGCCTAGGAATAACCGTGGGAACGAACTGTTGAAACAGCGGAAATAATGCATTTCTGCGGCAATGAGCACAGAACACGTGAAATGGAACCCTGAGCGAAAGTGCCCTCTATTGCGTCCGAAACCGGGTTATAATAGTCCGGCTCCGAAGAGTTTTTCGGTGATACTGGACGTGATAATAATTGTACTGGCTGGTGTAAAAGTGAGCGTTCAATAACTTATTCGCTGAATCCGAGACGTGCGTGGAAGTTACGTTATTTCGTGAGTATAGTTTATTTTTCATTGTTTTTCATTTCGTTTTCTTAACTGTTCTCCTTATTTTTCGGTGCAATTGGCGGTGGGATTGAGCTGTGTCGATTGATCTGCGTTTGATTTGAAATATTTCGTCGGTATGTGACATGTTCGAAATCCAGGAGTCGTTTCCATAGTAACGCTAGAACAGACCGTTGCATAGATTCCGTTGCGTAACAACGGATGAAACCGGAAAGTATACTTCCATGGAAACACAATAACAGTGGGCCATTGCACAGGAATTGAGGTTCCGTTGCGTAACGACGGATGAAACCAAACACTTCTACAAGGTGTTCTGTGCTAGCATTTCCTATGCAATAACAGTTGCTTTAGTTGCTTTAGTTCATCCAAATAATGCCTCGCAGAAGAAAAAGCTTAGGTCGTCGTACTCGCGGAGCGGAAGCAATGCGTCGAGTAATTGCAAATCAAACTGGGGAAGAACGGGCAGACTGAGCCACAGCAAGGCGTGGCCGGGCACAGCTAGTAATAATAATAAAAAAAGTCTTGGTTTCGAGCCGCAGATCAGATATTTATTACTGTTTGACAGTTACAGTCTTGATTTTGTGTGGTGCCCTCTCTGACTAGTGGACAGGTCTGTCTTTTGTATATGCTGCTGGTCCTTGACAGCGCAGTCTTTCTTGGGTCCGAGTCCCTTGGGACTCGTGACCATATTTTACTACTCAAGAATTTCCCAGCATTTTATGGAACTCGAAGGTTCATTACCGTGTTCACAAGAACCGTCCACTGGTCCCTATCCTGCCGGATCAATCCAATCCATACCGTTCCATATCTCTAAGATCCATTTTAATATTGTCCACCCACCTACTCCTTGGTCTTCCCAGTAGTCTCTTTCCTTCTGGCTTTCCCACCAAGATCCTATATGCATTCCGCTTCTCCCCCATTCGTACTACATGCCCTGCTCACCCCACCCTCCTTGACGTGAGCATTCTAATTGTACTTGGAGAAGAACAGACTAAGGTTGTTTAAGAAGAGGACGCCGAGAACATTTGGGCCTAAGAGGGGGGACTAACAGGTGTTGGAGAAAAATGCATAACGAGGAGGATCATAATTTACACCCTTTGCAAAATATTACTAGAATGACAAGAGGGTTGAAAGGCATGTAGCACGCATGAGAGAGAAGAGGCCTACATACAGAAGTCTGCTAAGAAAATAACGTAGATGAGAGGATGATAGGCTCACTGAAACGGATGTTATAGGATTGTGGTGTGTAGACTGGATTCATCTGGCTCAGGGTAGAGGCAGTGAATCTTCAGATTGCATAAAATGCTGGGAATTTGTTCAGACACTGCACAAATGTTGGCTTCTCGAGAAGGGTTCATTTCGATGGAATTAATTAGTTTTTTAGTTATCACTTTTGCGTTTCTCTGTAATTCCATTAATGAACCAGTCGCCCTTAAGTTTAATAAACTGTAAAGAAAAACGCTAGTGGAATTCTGTATATTACATTCCTCTCAGTCTTTTTCTATTGAGCATCGCCAACTCTGAATATTTGCGTGTTACAGTGTCTGAGACATTTAATTTTCTATTTCCGAAAATAAATGACAATTTTTAAAAATTATCAAATAACGCCAGGCTTTTCATTCTAATGGACTATTTAGGTTATGATAATATTGTAGATCCTCAGCGCTAAATATAGTGCGAGAGAAAATACCTGGTTATTTAAAGACAAACGGGAAAAACAATAGAAGTTCAAAGTCCATGTTTACTTTTGGCACGAGTTGCTATTATGACGTTTTGAATGTAAAGAACATTACGGGAGAAATAGAAGGTCAGTAGGGAGCTTGGAAGATCCAAAAACAATAGCTGTAATATGGGAGTTTCCGGGAAATACGGGAGAATTGTCCCCCCTATGCACATACGAACAAACTCCGTGGCCTGTAGTCCGCAAGCGAACTATACCGACCGATCGAGCACCGCTTGTCGGCGAAGTTAATGCCAACTTTTGCGGATAGAGGATGTCACGTGATCAGCACAGCGGATTCCCAGTGCCGTTAATATCGGTTTTCTAGACCGGAGCGACTATTTCCTTCAAATAGCTCCTCAATTATCCTCACGAGGCTGAATGGACCCCGTTCCAGACCCACTGCTTATCAGAAAATCTGGTAGCGCCGGGAATCAAACCCGGGACCTCTGAGTCTGTAGGCAGGATCTCTTACCACTAGACAAGAGGCGTTCCCCCCTAAGTACATAGCACACCTAATTAGGATAGCTCAGTCGGCAAGCTACAAGCTGGATGTCCGAGGAATCAAGGTTCGATTCCTGGCATGGTCAAAATAACTTATCTTCCCCACTTCGCCTAGATCGGTTCCGAATCTATGGAGCCTCCTAGCCAATGGGAAACGGAGTGAGAAGCTGACCACTCACATTCATCTAATGCCAAAGATAAGAATGCTTACAGATATACGAGTACATCCACTTTCCTGTAACGTCTTCCTGCCATGGTGCTTAATTAATCCGGCGCAGGGACTACTTTACCCCGAAGTTAAAGACATATTCAGGGGTACTGAAAACTTACAAATCTGTCAAAGTCCCGAGGTCCATGTTTTTCCATTACAGTACTTTCTAGTGGACACTATGTAAATGAGAAAGTAAAAAGAGAGCCTTATGTGGAGGTTTTGGCTGTCTCGACTTTGTATCAGGAAGGTCTGAGCCATTGGATAGAGTTTCTTCAATTGTGATATGGGAGACTTACAAAAAATTGTCGAGCAGTTCGAATTTAAGCCTTGTTGATCAGTAACAAGGCTTGGTTTACTTAGGGCCATGGCTGTATTTCTCCACGTATTCCATAAACCGTTTCACAGGCTTCAAATGCGATATAGGAAACTTCCACCATACTTCGTTGGAAAATTCAGATTTTCAACCATGTTGAGCCATAATAAAGCCTGGGTTACATAAGATGAGAGATGGAGACCTTATTGTATCTCATGTAGACTCCTATTCAGGAAGTTCAATGATTCAGATCCTGGTCAGGACATCGGCTATCCTGACTGATGTTTTCCGCAGTTTCCGGAGAAATGCCGGGATTATGCCATGGATGCTTTCTTCCAAATCCTGTCCACTTCATCAATCATCCTATCCGATGCTCAGTACTGGCAGTGTCGTTAAATAAACAACTGAAGTACCTCGATGAGGCCCTGGCCGCAACCGCTTCCTTCTAAATCCATTCAAATGCATCAGTTATATTATCATTTAACGCTCTAGTCTGTAGCCTAAATAATGACAGCGTCGTAACCCCCCCCCCTCCCAAGAAACTTACCTAACACTATGGTAACAGGCTCTGAAAGTTCAACAGACAATATCTTAATGGCACACTCCGGTCTCTTTCTTGGTTTTCCAGATGGACGATTACGCAGAGGTATCCCCACAAAATCTCTTTATGTATTTCTAGTCTCCCTGAAGGTAGCTTCCTGGATTTCATTACTGTAACAACATTCAGTGAGACGGGCAAATCACGAAGTTTGTCATTGTTTAACAATATGAATGTTCACTTCATCTGCTTGGTTATCTGGAAGACGGAGCCAGCGCGTTATTCCGAAACGTTGGTAATCACCTTTAAATATCGATCTTCCCATCCCAAATAATACTGCCATCTATACAAAGACCTGCAAATTAATATACGTAATACAAAGTTGGCCCCGAGCCAAACAACAGACGCACCAGCTGACGGAGAAATGATACACGCGTGTGTTATTGGCTTGTGGCAGTGAATCAGCTGTCACTGCTATTGCAGTGCAGTGTCGTGTTAATGAACTTTTGTGCAATCTACACGAGGCGTATAAACGTGTAGGAAAAGTTAAGTGATTGGGATGAAAGTAATGTAGTGTGTGGTGTTATTCAGCTGCTTATTTGGAAGGTAAGATGGAACGCATCAGTTAATTTTACAGATGTATGCTTTGTATGAGCAAAACCTTAAAATAATCTTGAGGTTCCAGATTGGCATTTTGAAGTTGTCGAGTGCTGTGACCAGCAATGTGAATATATTAGAGGAATCTAATGACGACGCTTTCGTTGTTTCAGTTTAATGAAAATAAATTTGTATTTAGGAACTGATTTCATTGTTCAGGATTTTAAAAATGCATGTGTTTAAAATCTGTTATTGCTGATGAGTTGTTTGGAAAGGCATTGTACTCTCGTCATCACTGCTGTTTCGATCACTTAGATACGTGATGTTAAAAATTTTGCAGAATACGAGTCGTGACATATGACAGAAAAGTTCCTTTAACAGTTGGTCAGTTTTTGCTCCAAAGCAGAAGGATCAACATTTCAATTAAATGCATCTGCTGGGAAAAACGGCGAAAACAAAAATGTAACGTGATAAATTTAGGACAAAGAAATCATATTATGTACAAATTTTTTAGATCTGTATGCTAGCCCCACAATTTAACAGTACAAAGATGTTTTTGGTCATATTTATTTATTCATAAAAAGGAAATCTTTGTGTAATCAGCATTTGTGTTTATATGTTAGTGTTTGTGCTGTGTTCTAAACTTTAGAACCCCTTGGCAGACTTCATAACTTATTGTAATGCCTTTTTTTTATTAGTTTAAACGTTACAACCAGATGTTCGCCATCTTCATTCTGAAATGCGTGTATATATAAATTTCTGTATGAAATAATATGTTAAGGCCCTACTGTAATGTGTGGAAGTGGTTCTGTATTGCAGAACTGGGTTATTTATAGTTTCACAGCTGAGATTCTGAGAAATGGATCAGTTTACATCTTCAGGTGAAAAGATGGGAAGGCCCTTACCTAGTTGGTTCCATCAGAAAGATCTTGTCTCAGTCATTGGACCAGTTCCAAGATTGAGAATACAAGATAATGGATAACTTCAAAACCACAGTAACCCCAAGCATAGTAAACCATTGTGAGAACCATTTAGAATTTACAGGTCATTTAGGTTTAGCCACAAAGTACAATTTAGTACATGTACTTCAAAATATAGGGAGTGAGTAGTAATATTTGGTAACTGGAAGCAGAGCTGTGATGTATTAAGTTCTGCAGTGATGCATTATTGCTGAAAAGCCTCATTGAACATTATTGTCCCATGTTTACATAGTGTAATATCATGTGTAAAGTAAAGCTATCCCTGTAACAGGCTGTGAAGTCCCATAGGGCCATGAGACATTGAGGGTCCCACATTATCTAGACAATCAGCTCAAAGATGGTGGTAAGGTTGTTAGCCTTATGTGCCGGCTGTGCTTTACTCCCAAAGAAAATTATTTAATTAATTCCTGGTACTCATTTCTGTTAGAGGCTGAGTCGACCCCAGGGTCATAATGCTACTGGAAGGATTAGGTCAATTGAAAAAATCCAATGACCTCATCGGGACTTGAAGTCGCGATCTTCCGGCTTGTAGCATAGCCCCTCAACCAACTACGCTACCGCGTGCCCCCAATATCATGTGTATACTTGCTTTTGCCACATGACATTACAGTTTTGTGTTTCTATTGCAACCTCATTTGCTAAGTACCATGAGTTTCTGGTAAAGAAAACCTTAAGGTTCAGCACTCCTGCTTCCAGTGAACATAGTATTGAGGTTTAAGGTGTGGGATATTGGGAAATGTTTCTCTTTATGGTTCTGGGTCCACAAAGCCCCTGGCTGTTGGGTACAGAAACTCTTTTCCTTGGACTCTAAGGTGGTCAAACCATGAAGCTTATCACCAGGTTGTGTAAAGGCAAGGTTACCACTATGGTCTTTCTTTTTTTATTAATTTATGGCTTATGGTTTGTTTAACAGTATTGTTAATAGTCCATACTATGTATGTAGCATTGAATGGTGAGATGATATGTTGATAATGAAATGGCAAGGATATGGAAGGAAACAGTCATAGCCTAATTAGAGGTGCTATCCCAGCATTTGCCTGGAAGGACTGAAGAAAGTGTCAGGATGTTAGAGGGCCCATCTAATATCTGAACTATGTACCTCACGAATATAAGCCAGAAACATTACTGCTTGAGCTAACTTGCTCAGTCTCAGGCTTTTCAAGCCATTGACTATTTCCATGAGGTGCATATCATGAGAAATTATATGTTTTGGAGCAGAATTATTATTGATGCACTGATAGTTGCTTATATATTCAAGAAATCTCTTGCCTTAGGAGGAACTTGGAGGTTCATTACTGTGTTCATAAATGCTGCTATTGGACCCTATGATGAGTCATTTGGATCCAATTCACATCTTCACACATTTTTTTAAATATCCATTTTAATATTATCCTCTCATTTCTGTATAGTTGCTGCGTGTTCTGTTCAGACTATAACATTGTTCCTATGGCTATGCCATAGCTCAAGCGATTAGTCGCTGGCTTCTACCGCAGCAGCCCGTTTCTGGTCAAGTGGGATTTGTGGTGGACAAAGTGGCACTGGGAGAGGTTTTCTCTGAGTACTTCGGTTTCCCCTGCTAATCTTCATTCCACCCAATTCTCCATTATCATAATCACCTGGGGCAGGTACAATAGACCAATCAGTGGCAGACATGCCGAGTTGACCCAGTTGCTCTCCACCCCCCACTATGCAAATTAAGAAAAAGAATTAAAAATAACATTGTTCCTAGAAATTTTCACAAAAACTCCCTCTTTTCTCTTTTTTTTCTCCTGATGGCTCTGCCACTGAGATAAGAAATTTTAATGTAAAGTGTGGCTGGTCTACTGAAGAGAAAGGGAATGGACTCTCATAATTTTGCTGCAGGGCTTATAGCTGTGGAAAGTATACTTCCAGAATTTAATTCTACATTTTTGGAGTTTTTTTTAATGTAATGCATAAAATATAGTTCAGAAAAATAAGTTACATTTATAGATCATAAAGAAGTGACAGGCATATCATATATGTAATCACATGAAGTCACTTGTTTTCATCCATTTAGTAGAATTAGCTTTATGTCTGGCCATCTTCCAACATGTGTGAAGAGAAAGTGAACTTTTGCTACTTTTCACCTTTCCCATCACATGACAATATCAATATCTGTACAACTGAGCTGTGGCTAAACTTATTACTAGTTGTACTCAACTACTACTCATATTTTATTTTTACTGTTTCTACCAAAATTAGAGACTTTTGGGATGTGATGCCTTATAGTATGACAGACAGACAGCAGTATTTTGGAACAGCCAGCTACCTCCAACTTCAGCATAGTAGACACTTGTACCTGAAGATGGGAGCAACAGGTTCCTCCAAGTTTGTGGTACTTCTTAACCAAATTACATGACATCACCTCCCAGGAGACCATAGTCTCCATATTCACCACCACAAGAACCTCAAATCTCATCTGTATTATCATTCTATTGTTACCAATCATGTTGTATAATTTATAAAAACAAATGAATGCTTATATTTATAATAAGTAAGCCTTTTCTGCAATTTTGGCCCATACATTCAAATTTTTATTTGTTTGTTTGTTTGTTTGTTTGCTTCTTTCTTTAAAAGAAGGTGAAAATATCTTGAAAGATAGTAGTCACCAACAATTTAATCTTGGCTGTTGGAACCCACATTTTCATCAGTTGTGGATCACACACCCATTTCATTTCATGTTCACGACTGAATGTCAGCTCTGCCAGGTTCCAGCTTTCTGAATGTTTTTATGGCTTCTTCAGTTCCTCCATTGAAGTGCTGGGTAAAGACAAAGCTGACTGTATGCTTAAATAATTAAGCACTACGTCATGAAGATGTATGGGGGGGGGTGGATATATGGATCCATGTATTCCTGACCTCGGCAGTGGTTGGAGATGAGTGGTCAGCTTCACTTCCCGGTTGGGTTCTCCTGATACTCATTGGATAGGAGTTTGGGTGGACCCCTGGCCGTGCAGCCCATAGCAAATTGCTATACCGGCTGTGCTGTCCCGGCTCGGAACTCTGAAGAAGCCGATAAAGTGGTGCGCGACTTTACAGCCTCTATAGCTTCGGCATGTAGGCTGTCGACAAGTAAAATTGGGCTGTTGGATATATATAACCACGATCTTCCTGGATTAGGTCGTTTGTTAACACAGGCAGACTACGAAAACTGGGGGGGATCCAGTATGTAAAACGGCATTCAGTTGGGTCAAGAAAACCATCGGAAAAATGACCCGCAGAAAGGGGTCGGTTGTCGCGTCTTGGAAGGACGCAAAACCTATAACCAAAATTTCTTCAAAATTTACGTCCGATAATTTACGTCTATGGGGGGCACGCGGTAGCGTAGTTGATTGAGGCACTATGCTACAAGCCGGAAGGTCGCGGGTTCAAGTCCCGATGAGGTCACTGGATTTTTTTCAGTTGACCTAATCCTTCAAGCCGCACTATGGCCTTGAGGTCTACTCAGCCTCTAACAGAAATGAGTACCAGGAATATTCTTGGAGCCGATTGTCTAGAAAAATGTGGGAACCTTAACATCTCACAACTCTATGGGCCTCCACGGCCTGTTGCAGGGATACCTTTACTTTACTTTTTACTTTTATAACCTGCTGCGCGAGTCTGCATTTACAGACACTCTCTGTATGAACTGTCTAAATGTTACTTAGAATATTGCAGTGACAAAGGTTGCGCAGTGTCCATAGGGACCTGGACGCTGTGACAGCTCTGACATTCCCCTGCTAAAACTACGGTGAATCAGACTTAGCACCACTAGAAAAAGACCGACCCCTCTCCTCGTCTAAGAGGAAACACAACGGCCTGTTAAAGCTGTTATCAGACATTTGACTGGCAGTACTTCTTCGGGGGACATGTCTGTAGCCCTCCAGGAACTGGACTATGACGTCATCGGTGTAAAACAGTTGACTGTCAAACCTCCCACTCCAGAAGGAGGGGTCACACACATCTCTCCCCCTCCTCCCTACTATTTACATTACGGGTGAATGTAAAAGGCTAAGAAATCTTCAAATT